CTGAAGTCTAAGCGCATTTGAATGGATTCCAAACATTTTTACATTTTTGTATACCTCTGTCCTGACGCGGCACGATGGGTGAGGGCACGGTTGTCTAAGTGCTGGTCTTCGGCACAGTTTGCGGATTCTTCCTCGTGTGTGGCTCTTCCTTCCAGCTTCCTTTGAGGCAACAATGACGTGCATCTCCATTCGTCTGAATGGAAGTGAAGGGCAATCGCACAGTGAAAATACAGTCTCGATAGCAGCTGACAATTTGCCGCTTCCACCGTACCTGTATTCAGGGACCATTCACTACACAGGCACACCTCCATCTTCGCATAAGACAAAAGGCAAGCCAGCTTCCAATGAACCACCTCACTTCTATAGCTTTTCCTCACTCCTATTAATCCAACGCAATGCACAAGTCCTTGTAAACTATCCACTGCACATTCAGTGACACAATAAATGACCTGGTCAAATTTGAAGCAACGGTCCAATACCACGGCCTTTGATCCTGCTGCAACATATGCCAGTACGGGAGCTTGTGTGGCATTCACATTGCAGAAGAGATAAGATTGAATGCTTGTGGATTGCAGTACGGTCGTCTGCTTGGGAGAACCAGTGATTGGGACATCGTTGATACCATTGAACATAAAATGGCAAGATAGCTCGTAGGATGACCGTTTCGAAGTCTATAATCTCGTAGTTGATAGGTTATGAAGAACTGTGACATTACACCATATATAGAGGACAGAAGACAAGCCACTAGAAGTGCGTGTGCCACGTAGTATGTGCAATGGCGTAAAGGAGAGGTGAGCTGGTGGAGGCAGAGGGCGCTTTTATAGACGTCTGCATAAGCGATAGTGAGAGCTGAGAGGAATAAATCTATTTAAACACGGACAACAGCAGATGGTGTACAATCAGCTGCAAAGAGCAGAACGTTGTTGTTCTTCACCATTTGTATGCAGTTAGTGAAACAAACAGCACAGCGATAGTTTACGAGGCTATGATGTCTATAACGCTATCACGTCTACTACCTGGACGCCTGTTCATGCACCATGCAGTGGCACAAGCACATTCTCGTTTTGCGTTACCACACTTCTGGACATAAGAGAGGAGGTCAAAAATGGCCGTAAGCAGCAGTGGAAGTAGAAATCTAAGCGATCCTGATTAAAACTTGACCAACAGTTTACCACTATCGCTTATGCAGACGTCTATTACCCCAGTTTCTCGGAACCGCTACTGGCATTGAAGACGGCGGGGTGTCAATGCAGACATCACCCCCTTCCTCATCGCCACTTGCCGCTACTTATGCTCCGTTTTTATTGAATGCTGGAGACAACTATGCTCTTCCTTACCGCTTCAACATTCTTTGTCGTAATAAACTGCATTAAGACACTTTGTAAGGCTGCAATAACCATCACAATCCCCGTGGGAAAAGAATTCGAGACTTCCAAACGAAAGTCAACATCGGTTGTAAGCAGGAGCGGCAATCTGACGCACCCTGACCAACATTCCATGCACGTGCGTGGTAAACCGTCCTCGGAAGAAGGCGTCTGTGTGATTGTCCAATGGTCAATCAGCTAGTAATCGGTTGGTCGTTTCTCGTTGCGACGGCCCTTCATCGACAATCGCACGTGACCTGAAGGAGTGTTGACACGACCGCTGCCGATTTGGAGGGGATAATCGAAGGATAAGGAGAAATCTGCAAAATAGAGTGGAAGTCTGAGAGCATACAAACACGCAATAGTCCATTATACCACTTTGTGATCACTACTACCGAGGAGGTTCCAGTAACTAGTACTTGCCCATAGTGCTGCCAAAATTGCGCACTCACCATCCCTCATGCTATCCAATATTTTAATTATTGATGCGCTTGCGAATTAGGGGAGGCAGCACGAAACTTCGTAAAAGCCAGAAGTAGAGGTGAAGAGAGTTTGGCTAGCCATAATGGAGAAAGAGAGGGCACGATAGGTGGGCAATGGGTAGGCCATATACTGGAGCGGATGGGGGACACCAGATTTCCAAAAGGTGTAATATTAAGGGATTTCAGGTATTTCCCCTGTCTTATTTTATTGAATTTGATTAACGCGCAGTTGGCTATCATTTCTGTTGAGAAGGAAATACCAGACGTAGTTTTACGCTGAGTGGAATGAATTCATAACGTGCCAATAAATCTTAAACAAGTGAGTCATAGCTTACGTGGTCCCTCTCAGCGGTCCCGATTCCATTCCAAGCTCTTTGAAGCGTTTCATATCACCTCTGCTGGGTTCGGAGCCAAACACATGCTGGGAGACATAAGCGGGTATCATGGTCAGATTCTGAAATAAATAAATGTGTTTTACTAGTAACATGCCATTTTATTTGACGGATGTTTTGCGCCTGACAATGAAAGATATTCCCAGATGGCATTTTGCCATTTGTTAGGCTAGTTCATGGACCAGTAATTCTTGCATAAGCGAAAAAATTCACGTTTGCATAAGGAAGAAGTCGAATTGCTTTGCTAATCAGAATAACGTGAAGAGAAAGGGTAAGGTTAGCTGAGGCAGCAGTAACCGATTACTGAGGTGGCATTCCATTGGACAAAATCTATGAGTGAAGGCTAGCGAAATGCAACAACATAGGTGGATTTTGACAGGTGACAAGTAGTCTTCCAGGCTGAGTCACGTTGTAATTGGAAGGACCAGTGCGGCCACACAGCCACAGTGTTATCAGATCCCCCATAGCCCGTCGATTTTTTAGATGCAACCACATTTCGAACGCACATAAATAGGTGGGAATGGTTTTGTTTGATATTTAAATGATATGAAGCTCATCTGTCAGGTGTCTAGCGTATAACCATTTCAAACAGCATGTT